AGGGAGAGGGAAAGGGGGAGGGAGAGGGAGAGGGAAAGGGAGAGGGAGAGGAAAAGGAAGAGGGGGAGATGGAGAGGGAAAGGGAGAGGGGGAGAGGGAAAGGGAGAAAGGGAAAGGGAGAGGGAGAGAGAGAGAAAGGGGGGGAGACAGACAGACAGACAGAGACAGAAGAGACAGACCTACAAGTAAGAGGAAGAGAAAGAGAGACAAGAGATAGAGAAGAGACAGACGTAAGAGGAAGAGAAAGAGAGCCAAGAGACAGAGAAGAGACAGACCGACAAGAAAGAGAGACAGAGCCAGAGACAGACCGACGCATNTAAAGGAAATCCAAAGAAGTCATCCAATTTCAACAGCCAAATTCGGGTTCAAGTCATCATGCCACAAGCACACACCAACAGCAGACCAGGTGAACTTCCTGACGCAGTGGTTCACCAGCTGGTCAGAAATGCAGAGGAGATTTCATGCCCATCCTCATCCAAGCCTATCAACCCAGGATCACATCAATGCCTTCTGGGTGCATGGATGCCTGACAGTCCATGGAAGAACAGCCCTCCCTCTTCGATTGTCAGGTGAGTTTTGCTATTAAAGAATGGCGGCTTTTATTTACTTACACTTTTTTGGTTTCATTTTATTTATTTTTTAAGCTAGATTTTAAATTTTCCTCAATGATTGTTAGAAACTATGATTTTATGATTTTTTTTTTTTTTTCTACCCCTTCTTTATCTTTCTTTATCCTTAACCCATCCATTCCCGGGTGTCATATATGAGACACAAGGAAAAAATTAACAGTTTCGGGCTGCCCGCCAGTGCGATGCTGTCTCGGAGCCGTGCTCGCGCAAAAGCCGCGCGGCCGGGGGGCGGACAGACTCCGGAAGCTCGCCCGCCGATTTTGTAGCTTCCCGGATTTTTTAATTTGGCTACAAAATGACCCGGCGTGGGTGGTTAAGAATAGACATGTAATATTCTGCACTCAGTGTTATTCCACAGCAATATTTTCTAGTTACTGTATCAAAAACAAATGTATTTTATAATCCTGAAATATGTATCATACATATATATATAAAAAATCAGCACTAAAAGGTATGCTCATATACTTTTGGAGGAGGATATCTTTGTTATATCACTGTCATCATTATTCCTTGAATTTATATTGGTACCCTACATCTCCTGCAGAAGGTGGACTAAAGGATTAAACATAAACACACGCACAGTCATTTTGTTTGCAAATGTGATACATATGGTATATGGAATATATACAATATATACTTTACCATATATACGGTATATACTATGCATACCTTACTTAAAACATTACTCTATGTTCTATTTGCACCTTGTACTTTAAGTACTATATATACTATACATATACCATATACATACATATTGTGGAGTGGGACACAGATACACTTAAAATTTTTCTATTTATGTTTTTTTTTCTTTCAATTTTTCTTTTTTTTCTAGATTATTGCAGAAAGTGGCATGTAATTCGTAAGTTTATTATTTTTTCCCCTTTTTATCAGGTCAAACTATTCCATGACTGGTATGGAAACTGGGCTGAGAGTGAGAAAAGCCGTTTACTAGAGCAGCTTCGTGCAGCAGACCCAGATTTCATGGCCCAGTACGACAAGCAGATCAGCAGCAGCTCGTCTGGAGCACAGGAGGAATCCCCAGCCCCGGTGGAGACTATGGAGGAAGCCATAACCCACCAAGCTCTGTCAGCTCTCCTCCCAGCACACTTCCACGCTCCCACAGCCCACACGACTCAGGCTTGGATGAGCCACCCAGTGACAGCGACCACACAGAACCCCACAGCCTGGACTCCAGCCATGAGCCAGAAGACCAGAGGACAGCCAACTCGCAGGTAGCATTGGAGAGTGTCACAGCTCCCACGCCCCCCATGAAGTCTTGCATCAGCTCAGCAGAAAACACAGCATGTCAAAAGCCTGAAGCACTGGCCAATGGTTGTAGTGATGTTATCAACTCTGCCCCATCAGAGCAAGTCCTAACAACAGCTGCCATTGAGAAGACAGGTGGAGCAGGTACCATATGCTGCAATATCTTTGTTTTCTTTTTCTTACTCTGGCATCATTGGTTATATGATACTGAAATATTACTTTTGTCTTTACAGTAGAGATATTTTGCTCTTGGAAAAAACAGCACAGTAAACCAAAACAGATAAGAGTAAGAAAAAACATCATTCTATTTTCCATGTACCTGCTAAAGATAAATTTTTACTGTTTAGTGTACTAGGAAAAATCATTACAATACTGAGGTTGTTCTCTGCTTTCATTAGGTAGTTTTCCAGTTTTTCTTTTATTCAATTCAACGAGATTCATGTTTATGTACTCTATTGTGATTTATCCAGTGGTTGAGTAAAGGGAGTCATATTGTCATTATATAGAAATATATTTTACTGTTCCAATTGTAGATCTCTGTAGTATATACAGTTTGACATACTCCATACTGGAATATAGATTAGTGAAGCAGTACCTGGAAACTG